AACAGAAGTCATGGAGCTCGAAGTAGCTAGGCTTCAGGCTGGCGCGGCCCAGCATGGCAAAGCGTGGCTGCAGCAAGAGGTGGCGGCCAAAGCCCAACCCCAACTTCGCGCACTCGCCCGACAGCTGGATGTGCGCCAATGGGTCGCAGGCAGCAACGTGACCAAGGCAGACCTAGCTGCCGCTGTCGTGGAGAAGCTGTGCCCACAGGCCAGGATCGAAATCTGGAGAGTTTTGCTGGTGTTTGTTTTGCTGTGCTGATTGTTGCCAGGAGCCGAGCAGTTCTGCGGCTTCGCCGACGCCGGTGTCTCGACTTGGTCGTAGTCGGTGTTTGACGCTATTGTTTTTGATGTTGTTTTGCGGATGGCCGAGATGTAAGCACCAGATGGCACCATGTCGTGTTTCTTACGGACGGTTGCCTCATCTCATGGACATGGCAGGATGAGGCAGAGCTTGTCGTGGCCACGCTTCGTGCTGGTTTGTCGGAGAAGGGCAAGGCGTGGCTCCAGCAAGAGGTGGCGGCCAAAGCCCAACCCCAACTTCGCGCACTCGCCCGACAGCTGGATGTGCGCCAATGGGTCGCAGGCAGCAACGTGACCAAGGCAGACCTAGCTGCCGCTGTCGTGGAGAAGCTGTGCCCACAGGCCAGGATCGAAATCTGGAGAGTTTTGCTGGTGTTTGCTTTCCTGCGCTGATTGTTGCCAGGAGCCAAGCAGTTCTGCGGCTTCGCCGACGCCGGTGTCTCGACTTGGTCGTAGTCGGTGTTTGACGCTATTGTTTTTGATGATGTTTTGCGGATGGCCGAAATGTAAGCACCAGATGGCACCATGTCGTGTTCCTTACGGACGGTTGCCTCATCTCATGGACATGGCAGGATGAGGCAGAGCTTGTCGTGGCCACGCTTCGTGCTGGTTTGGCGGAGAAGGGCAAGGCGTGGCTCCAGCAAGAGGTGGCGGCCAAAGCCCAACTTCAACTTCGCGCGCTCGCCCGACGGCTGGATGTGCGCCAACGGGTCGCAGGCAGCAACGTGACCAAGGCAGACCTAGCTGCCGCTGTCGTGGAGAAGCTGTGCCCACAGGCCAGGGTCGAAATCTGGAGAGTTTTGCTGGTGTTTGTTTTGCTGTGCTGATTGTTGCCAGGAGCCAAGCAGTTCTGCGGCTTCGCCGACGCCGGTGTCTCGACCTGGTCGTAGTCGGTGTTTGACGCTATTGTTTTTGATGATGTTTTGCGGATGGCCGTAATGTGATGGCCGATATGTAAGCACCAGATGGCACCATGTAGTGTTTCTTACGGACGGTTTGTGCAGCATCGCATGGTCATCGGCAGGATGAGGAGAAGCTGGTCGTGGCAACGCTTCGTGTGGTTTGTCGGGAGAAGGCAAGGCGTTGATTCTGCAAGAGGGTGGGCGGCAAGGCCAATGCCCAACCACAAATTTGCGCACCCGCCTTTTTCAAGTTCTTTGTGGGGCGCCGATGTGTTTGGAGTTTTGCATATTGCGTTTTAGGTATGGTGTCGCAGGCAGCTGCGTGACCCAGGCAGACCTAGCTGCCGCTGGATTGCTGGGGTGTTATTGGGCTACTTTGTTGATCTTTTGCGTCGTGGAGAAGCTGTGCCCACAGGCCAGGATCGAAATCTGGAGAGTTTTGCTGGTGTTTGTTTTGCTGTGCTGATTGTTGCCAGGAGCCAAGCAGTTCTGCGGCTTCGCCGACGCCGGTGTCTCGACCTGGTCGTAGTCGGTGTTTGACGCTTTTGTTTTTGATGATGTTTTGCGGATGGCCGAAATGTAAGCACCAGATGGCACCATGTCGTGTTTCTTACGGACGGTTGCCTCATCTCATGGACATGGCAGGATGAGGCAGAGCTTGTCGTGGCCACGCTGCGTGCTGGTTTGGCGGAGAAGGGCAAGGCGTGGCTCCAGCAAGAGGTGGCGGCCAAAGCCCAACCCCAACTTTGCGCGCTCGCTAGAGAGCTGGATGTGCGCCAACGGGTCGCAGGCGGCAAAGTGACCAAGGCAGACCTAGCTGCCGCTGTCGTGGAGCAGCTGTGTGGCCAGGTCGGCTCCAAAGCTGCGCAGTCTTGTGTTTTTCCCGAAAGCATGGCGAAGGGTTCTTCCGCTGGGTTCACTTGAGTTGTTCTCATGAGAGTCATTACAAGGTGTCATTGCAAGGAATCATCATCATGAAAGTCATTGCAAGGAGTCATTGCAAGGAGTAATTGCAAGGAGTCATTGCAAGGAGTCATTGCAAGGAGTCATTGCAAGGAGTCATTGCAAGGAGTCATTGCAAGGAGTCATTGCAAGGAGTCATTGCAAGGAGTCATTGCAAGGAGTCATGGCAAGGAGTCATTGAAAGGAGTCATTGCAAGGAGTCATTGCAAGGAGTCATTGCAAGGAGTCATTGCAAGGAGTCATTGCAAGGAGTCATGGCAAGGAGTCTTGGCAAGGAGTCATTGCAAGGAGTCATTGCAAGGAGTCATTGCAAGGAGTCATTGCAAGGAGTCATTGCAAGGAGTCATTGCAAGGAGTCATGGCAAGGATTGCAACTTGCACTTGACTCCTTGCACTTGCAACTTGCACTTGACTCCATGCACTTGGCTCCTTGCACTTGGCTCCTTGCACTTGGCCCCTTGCACTTGCAACTTGCACTTAACTCCGTGCACTTGCGAATTGCACTTGACTCCATGCACTTGGCTCCTTGCAACTTGCAATGGCTCTCATGACTCCTTGCAATGACTCCTTGCAATGACTCCTTGCAATGACTCCTTGCAATGACTCCTTGCAATGACTGCTTGCAATGAATTCTTGCCATGACTCCTTGCAATCACTCTTTGCAATGACTCCTTGCAATGACTCCTTGCAATGACTCCTTGCAATGACTCCTTGAAACAAGCAAGGAGTCAAGTGCAAGTTGCAAGTGCAAGGAGTCAAAAATTGACTTGCGAGGAGTTAAAATCTCTTCTTAGGGCGGCGGGGTAGCGCCGACGACACTACACGAAAATCGACCCTCTGCGGGGATCGGCGTGGTCGAGGTGCAAAAACTCGAGGTTTTTGCGATGTTTAACCTGCTCGCGCGACCCTCTGCGGGGATCGGCGTGGTCGAGGTGCAAAAACCCATGGTTTTTTGCGATTTCTGCGGTGCTCGCGCAACCCTCTGCGGGGATCGGCGTTTGCGAGGTTGCTATAACTCAGGGTTCCAAATATGTCTCTTCAAGCATCATCACCTGTGCTGGGACATCGGCGTGGTCGAGGCCCGAGGTGCAAAAACTCGAGGTTTTTGCGATGTTTAACCTGCTCGCGCGACCCTCTGCGGGGATCGGCGTGGTCGAGGTGCAAAAACCCATGGTTTTTTGCGATTTCTGCGGTGCTCGCGCAACCCTCTGCGGGGATCGGCGTGGTCGAGGTGCAAAAACCCCTTGTTTTTTTTGCGATTTCTGCGGACGGAGCAGGAGCGCGTGGCTCCTTGAGTGGATGAGCGAGGTGCAAAAATCGTTTCAGAATCAGACCCAGTTGGTTGTTGTTCGAACTGGTCCTCGGGATGTTGTCGGTGGTTCGCGCGCCTGCTCCCGGAACCGGCGGGTCGCGGGTTCGATTCCTCCTGGTCCGCGGGGCGGGCGTCGCAAGATGCAACTTGCATTTTTAAAGCAACTTGCGCAGAGCAACTTGCGCAGAGCAAGTTGCACAGAGCAACTTGCGCAGACCAACTTGCACCGACCAGTTTGCGCAGAGCGCCTTGCCTAGAGCAACTTGCGCAGAGCAACTTACGCAGAGCAACTTGCACAGAGCAACCTGCACAGAGCAGCTTGCACAGAGCAACTTGCAGGGAGCGCAATTTGCACAGAGCAACTTGCAGGGAGCCACTTGCAGGGACCAACTTGCCGGAGCAACTTGCGCGGAGCAACTTGCGCAGAGCAACTTGCACCGACCAGTTTGCGCAGAGCACCTTGCCTGGTGCTGTCTCGCGCTTGCTTCACAAATGCTTCGTGTAGGGAAAAAGAACGCATCCTGCAGCGTTGGGCCGACCTCGCTTGCGATGTTCTGCTTTCGGGCCAACCGTGGTCTAGTTTTGTGAAGCCCAGCAAGACACTGTCCATGCCAAGTGGCAAGCCCATTAATGGACAGCTTTGCCAAAGCTAACTGCAGCTGTGCACTGTCTTCAGCAGAGTTGCCATCCGTCATCCTGCTTGATAGGCACTGAACAAGGTCTTCTGCTTCCTCGGCGAGTCCTGCCAGCTGAGTACGAGCCTCCAAATGTGGCAAAACCACTCTCAGGAGTTGCTGCAGACTCATTCTCTCTATCAGTTGCCTGTGCGGCTTGATAAGCCGTTGTGTGCGCTCACGGTGAGGCATATGGCAATACCGACAGAAGGAAGCATTGCTACAGTTCCCATAGTGCCAATACACGCAAGGCTTGGAGCAAACGTCCGGATGTCCAAAGCTGCCAAGGTTGGGTGTAATTTCAGAGGGCTCCTCAGGAGGATCATTCTCCTCCTCCTCTTGCCTTCTGGCCAACTGCTGGGCTCTGGTGGCAGATTCGAGCCATGCACTCATCTGGAGCCAGATCCTAGCTCCAAGCGGAGTACAGGCTCCTTTCCATTGCTGTGCTTGGGCCGTTGCAAAGAATGCGCAGACGCCGACATGTCATGGAACTCACAGGTAATCTCAAGGCAACCACAACCAAAGGCAACTTGGGAAGCAACTGAGCAATTGCAAGTGTATGTGTGCACATAGTACATACATGTATGTATACATATGTACAACATATACATAATATGTATATAATACAGGTGCATTCAACATGCACTCAATTACCTTTGGGGCTCACTTGACCTTCATGGAGCCATGTTTTTCTTGTTTTTGTTTTCTGACAAAGGTAACATTGTGCTCTTTGGAGGGACCCTGGCGTTGCCCCCCACAACCTCCTCCCCTTGGGTTTCCCTCTCAAGCAACCCAAAAAGGATACCCAAGAGCACATTCATGAGAGCAACTCAGGCCCTAGAGGCACACCTCGAACATATCCTCGAAAATCTTGAGCGCCTTTTTCTCGGCCTGGCGGGCTGAAGAGGTGCAGGAAATTGCCAAGTTCCAAAACTTCCAGTCAACGTTTAAAGTGACCATGAAATATGCAAAAGGCATACAATGCCCTTCGAATTCTCAAAGTGGGTTCACCATGAAATACGCAGAAGGCATAAAATGCCATTTGAATATATCACTTAGCTGTATTCGAGAGGTCGTTAATGGCGTTTTCTGATAAGCCTGGGCAAGTGGTGCGCAAAGGAAACATACGGGCGAGTAAGTGGGTGAACGAACGAGTAGACAAGTTGACGGACCCCGTCCGCACCACCTCGCGTGTTTTAGAGCATTGTACGTTTATGGTTCTTAAATTCAGCTAATATATCACCATGGTGGGGCAACAAACACTGCTGGTGTAAAATGCAACTGAGGTGAACAGACCCAAACAAAGGGGAGTCTGAAAAACTTCCCAACTGCACGTCAATAGCAAAGCACTTGTGTCCCTTGTGACATCTGCGGAAACGACACTGCCGTCCAAACTCCAAAGTCTCTACCTGGAGTCTCGACCCGACATAAAAATGGGTCCATGACCCATTTCATTATTTTGGGTAACCCCATTTTTAAGGGTCATGGAGACTCCCGGTATCCTCTTTGTTCCTGGTTAACATCACATTTGCGCTCGCCTCTTGGCCGAACAGTGAGTTGTTCGATGGGGTAGTTCAGGGTCCCAAGTCGATTGCCCCTCAAAGGGTGGTTTTGAACCTCTGTTTTTGCCCTGGGTGATGTTCGGTTGAAAGCGGGAGGTACGCAGAACGTGTTCAAACAATAGCCATCCCTTGTTGCTGCCACCAAACATTTCGCCCTTTTTAAAACGTCGTCCCTCTGAAATTGTGGTGGACGGTTGAGCAAGGCTCCGTTCCAAGGCTCAAGAGGTTCCAATCCCCAGCCAATCGGCTCGCAAAAGTTCCGCTAGCAAACCCAAAGGACAAAGCTGGAACCCTGATTCGGGGCCGAACAAATAAAGCCGGCAAGAGACCCCAAACAGTGTCGGGGAATTCATGAAACGACCCAACAGTGAATGATATCTTAACATATGATTAAATTGCAAGGAGGCGCACAACACATAGCACCCAAATCTCTGGCACACACTTCTGTGGTCTCGAAAAGCATGCTGGCGGCACGTTCTACCAATGATCTAGGGCTGTCCGTAATTCTACTCTCTTTTTTCGATTTGATTGGGGAAGGGGAGGGTTCTTGTGTTCTCCTGTAGACAGAAGAAACATGAAATAAGAAAGAAACACATTTTGAGTGTTTGCATGTCATTCTGCAGAAAAGTCATCCAGCGGGCTCAATCGAGTCTAAGGACAACCGTAGAAACAATGGAAACAAGCCAGACACGTGAACCCTAATCAGGATCACATTTAAACCAGTTTTGTTGGCGCCTAGTCAGGCACGTGAAAGCAAATAAGGTCATACAAAAGTTAAGGCATTGACGGGTCTCGCAGAAACCATATATATATATATATATCTTTGTATCTCTATGTATATATATATATATATACATATATATATATATATATGTATATATCTGTGTACACCTTAAAAACGTGAAAGCCTGGAACAAAGAACGTCCTTTGGAGGGCACAGGTATATATTATACACACCTACACTGCAATCTCAAACCTTCAGCTGATTGGAAGCAACAATGTAAAAGTGCATTCCCGGTGGAATGGAAGGCTTCCCAACGAATTCTGTAAAGCGGTAAAGTCCCTGGTATCACTGAGTGATTGAAAACCAATTGCCCCGGTTTCCGGCCCGGTTCATTTCCTTTAGCGTGCCAGTCATGGAGCTTGACTTCAGCATGGCCGGGAACGTGTCAAACGCAAGAAGTTGCCCTTGTTCAGGAGTCGGTTTACCGCCGAACTCCATCTACACGTCCTCTTGAAGGCCATTGATTCCCACCGATTCTCGATTGGTTTTGTTCTTCCCAGTCCTCCGCCCCAAAGAATTCGGAGAGGGGACGAGAGCCCTTCGTAAGCCCCAACAACGGCATCCAGATCCCAGGCGTCACGCGTCACTGTAACCCTTCGTGCTCCTTTTGGTTTCGGGGTCCTTAAGGATCCATTGGTTGTGGCATAGCAATGGAATCCTGATGTGAAACCAGTCCAAAAGCATGCGTTTGTCCCGAGGCTTACGCTGCAGGCGTGCAAAACATGGAAGTGGACAAGGGGCCTTTTCAAGAGGACTGTATTCGGACACAAAGACTCCTGTCTAGTCTAGCACCCCGAAGAAAACTCGACCGCCTCTTCACCTCTTGCGGTGAAGGGCTTCCTGAGCATGTCGACGCGTGCGAGTCAAACAGCTAAAGCCGCAAAAGGCTCCATCAAAGCCCGAAGGAACCCCTTCCCCTCGAAAGGAAATCCCAACATAAGGCACCCCCGCCCTCCGAGTTGAACCCGACATTTCAAGAGCAAGACCTCTTGAGGCATAATTAGTTCTATAATTCAGCTTTGTTCTTAGCCGTGGGGGATTTGACCAGGACGCGCTGCTGAGAATTCAGCGGAACATAGATTTCATGTGACACTACGGACCCCCTAGTCATCGTTTCACCAGTCAAACGCGGCCAGTGAACTGTACCCAATTTTAGGACACCACGTTTGGGTTTGAAAGATGGTTCTCTGCCCAAAAACTGCCCATGCGTCATGATCTTAGCTTTGCTTGCTGGCTTGCCTATGGATTTCACCTGTTCTCGCCACTTACACTCAGCTTCCTTCTAATGGGTGGTTTGGGTTGGTGATTTGGAGGTTAGCGGCGCTAGGGTGTTGTCCAATTACTGACTCGTGACCTCCCCTTGTTGTGCCTCATGAATATTGGATTACCCTTCACCCGAGCTCACCAACAAAACCGAAACACGGAACACGAAATCCTCGGGAAGTTCAGTCAGTGTGGCGTCACAAAAGGGGGCGTGCCATGTAGAGGTTGGGTCTACGTTGGGAAACACCCAGAGACAGGACTCCAAGTGCAACATGGATCAGTGGTCCGTGGAAAGCAAGTGAGCGAGCGGCAAAACCCAAGACTACTTTGGGCGATTTCGAATGGGTAGTTACAGTATCGTTCTTGGGGTTTCACCATATCGTTCCTGAAGATTTCTGACACTTGTCTTGGGGTTTCGCCAAATCACCGAAGACATATCTCTGGACGAGAGAGTTTAGCCTCTTGCTCAAGTGTATCTCGGAATCCCCTGAAAGGAAATCACAAGGGATGGATCGTACGCTGGGGTTCGGGATGTTCATGCAATTAGACGATCCGCATCACTATTCTAAAGAGACTCATGATAACCTGGCCCACGTGTTGGAAGGTTTTAGTATAACATATGTGCTTTCCTGGACCGACCTCTGCCATGATTGGCGGTTGACCGACTGAGCCACGGCGGAAACGGTTTTCGTCTTTCAATGCTCTTCCATGCAACGCCATGCTTAAGGAAAATCCGTGTTTGGGGCGGCTTTTGTGGATCCATGTTGTATGGAACAGCAGTAATTAGCTGGGTGTTGTTCTTTGCACAAAGCTCGAACACTACAAAAGGATATCAGTGCCGCGCAGCAAGGGGCGGGGTCGGCTTGCCAGCAACAATATACAATGATCAGATCTCTGTTGGCTCGCTCAAACACGCAATTACCAACACGTCTGCTTGTCTGATGAAGTGTTTGCGTATGCTAATCAACCTTTCAGAATGTTTGGTCTTAGCAGGCGTCAGGAGCCAAAGACTTCTTCAATTTGCTTGATGCTTTGCAGGATGTGTGGTCATCAATGGGGGCAGCAAGGAGGACAGTCGACCTCCCTTTGCGATTGATCATTGCCTTGCGATTGTTTACAAAACATCCAAATGTTGCAACTTTCGAGTGGAAAACAACAACCCGGACTTTGTGTTAGTCATCCAGAAAACAAGCCATTGTGCTAGGGCCTGGGGAGGGGGGTTCAAGGGCCTCTGGCCTGAACCAAGGTTAGGATGCTTGAAACAAACGAATCCAAGTCTCTTTCGGGGTTCACTTGGCCAATTGCGAGAGAATTCACCATCCGTCCGTGTTCTGCTGGACAATTCACTGCCGCACCCAAAACTGACGCGTCGTTGGACGTCTCCGACTGAAGCCACGGAGATTGAAGCAGATCTGCGATCTATGCATCGTCCATAGCTTTCAGAGCCATCCCTGCCTTACCAAAAATTACTCGCCTGGGAGCAAACATGGAACCCTGGAAAAACAGGGGCTCGAGAGATTTGTCATTCGTCTCGTTGCCTAAGCTCGCAACCGCGACAGGGCTTTCAAAGGCACAGAAGGAAGCAACCCAGTTTCGGGGATCCGATTTCTGCTTCTTGGAGAGACTTCGACCACCAAAAGTGACCTGCTGGTGAGAATGGAGCACGGAAACCCAAGAGGCAGAGCACAAGGTGACTTGAATCTGGTAATGTCCCTAGATTCTTCCTGTGGGGATCACTGGATTTCCGCCAAAAAAGTTGCACTTTTGCTGGTGGCGTCATTGAAGCAGCCACGGTTGGAGGTTCCAAAAAGAGGAATTGCTCGGCAACCCTGTGGGCAGGGTTATGTTTTAAAGATAAGCGTGTAGGCAACCTGTTTTGGTTTCCACCCCTGCTGCCAAGGTTCGGGTGTGTTCCAGGGATCACCATCTTTGTCTGCACTCTCACCTCCCAGCGAGCTGACTCTCCTCTTCTGCCAGAAGGTCCCCAAACCTCTAGGCAAGATGGGTATACACCCACGGTCAGTAAAGGTGGTAATATGTTTCATGTTTTTGCAGCGCACACGTAGGGGTTCGACTCTAAGGGTACGCCTTGATTCAGTGTGTATATATATAATATGTACGTGCTAGTCGTAGCGAACAACATCACATTGTACCGGTCAACACAAGCAATGTCAAAGGCACAAAAAGGCTCTGAAATCATCCACGTGACATACCTTGATCGTTGCTGAGGGCGATCTTTCACTTTCCTGAGGGACCCTGAAACAACACTTCCCACTTTGGGACCATGGCACTTTTCCAACATTTGGAGGCCCACTTGTCGCAATGTGGCCTGTTGGCCGAGGCATGCAAGTAACACCACATAAAGTCAAGAGTGACCTGCACAAGCCCAAGTTGGGATGCCTCATGTGAACTGGGATGCTGCTAAGCTTGAATTGGATGGCACCTCATCTGGCTAAGGAAACAACCCGAAGATCCAACGGAGCTCAACGGTTCAAAGCTCGGCCTTACCGAAACAGTGCTTGAGTTCACCGTTTCGCTGGGATCTATGTGAAGGCATCCAGCCTAAAGCTGCGCAACGACGTACTTGCTCAGTGGCGCACCCGTCCAAGACACAAACCTAGCAGCGCGACATGAAAGGCAGCCATGTGACCACATCGATCTTGATGCCATCCTGTTCCTGGCAGTTGCAACCCGTGACGGCAGTTGCAACCGAAGTGGGATTTGGAGGGACGGAATCGGGAAACCAGAGTAACACAAAAATGTGTCATGTCAGCTACGACATCCACAGTTGTTTGTTACATGGTTGAACAGGGCTGTGGGAAATGACCACTTCTGTGATGCAACAAAGGGGCTTCCCAAAGACTAACCCGCCATATAAAGATGATTCCCTTGTATCACAGAAGTGGGGATAACCCCCTTGACTGCATTGAATACTTGGGTGTTCCCACCTCCTTCTCCAACCCACCAGTTTGCACTCATTGACCTTCTTTTCCAATGCCGCGTGCATTTGTGATCTCAACCACGTCCCTACCTCGTTCTGCCAGTCTAGTATGTCACCCTAAAAACAAACCGTTTGGTTTTTGCCGTATTCTTCTGCCAAGTTATTGGCAATCACTGTGGGTGTCCTCGTCATCCCAAACAAGGGCAGGCTCCAAAAGGACGGTGCCACAGCCTGTCCTCTGGGCTTGCGTCGTCCACTTTGGTGACGGAAATGTCGGTGATCTCGGCCACGGAGTCCTGGCTCCTGGAAAGCCCCAAGGGCAACAAGCGAGCCCTCGGTGTAACTTGGTTGGGTCCCATGGATCCGCGGCCAAAGGACTTAGTGTTGGGAGAATTGGTGGGTTGCTCCTGAGAATCCCCGTGTTTCCGCAAGAGTTAGAGTGCAAAGATCCCTTGCCAACAATTGCCATAAGGAAGGGCTGCTTCTCAGACACCCGGGCTTTGCTTCAGGACGTAGATTCAAACTTTGGCAACTTGGGGTAGATTTGTCCACGGGAATCATTGATTCAACTGATCTGAGGGTGCCTTTCCCATTTTTGCCAGGGTTCCTTCTTTGCAGAGAACCTCCGGAAACCCAGGGAAAACGAAAACGGCCGGTTTTTTAAAAGAAAGATGGCTGAAGAGAATGGCAAACAAAATCAACCGCCACTGATCTTCATCACCCTGGCGGCAGCTAGCCCTAGACTTGGTTCCAGCCTGGGAGCTTCCGACGGGCTTCTTCTTTAGGGTTCTATGCACTTCGAGGAGAGAGGGCAACAAAAAACAAAAGCGGAGTCACCCAGAAGGAGGGGTCCTCAAAAAACCCACAATTGGAGGTTTCAGGTTAATTTTGAAGGTTGAGAACTGGCTTATTATTTTTTGAAAAAGCTCTGAGAACCTTTCTGGGGATGTGCCCTCTGTCGGTGTCCAAGCCAAACATTTGCCTATGTCTAAATCAATCCCAGGGGGTACACCCTTCCATCGGTCCAGTTTCAGAAAATGGTGCGGGTGAATCATTGTGCAAAGTTGTTTACACCTCCTTCCACCATGGCAGATACCCGACTAGAACTATACCAGCGATTGCGAGGTCGCGTAAAATGACACCAGCTAATCAAGATCATGAGGGTTCGGCTCAAAATGGCTTTTACGCCAAAAATGGCGGCTTCCTCCCCCCCAAAAGAGGAGTCTGAGTGGATCTCAAAAACACAAGAAGAAGGCGTGGGGGATGCATCCACAAGTCATCTCCCCCGTGTAAAACAATCTGAAGCTTCAAGTCTCGACTTTTCCATTCGAGGTCTCTGGGCCAACCCTAAAGCTTTGGGTAACAATCCCAACCTCGGTGTAGACCTGGCGCCTGCAGAAAGCCACGAATTCATCATAGTGTCTCAACACATCAGGTGGCCATGTGAAGAGAGTCCCCGCTGGCGGTAAACAATCAGTCATGCCGAGAATCTTTCTGTATGCGAAGCTTCTAGCCGTTTGCTTTTCGCTAATCAACTTGCCCGGCGGTTTTTTCACCCGTTGTGGCAGAAGCCATGGGCAGCCAACATGGGCCTGGCTGTCACAAGTGCAGCGACACTGAGCCTCTTCGACCTCCGGGAAAGGGACAAACAGCGAGAATCTTCAAAAAAGAGTGAACAGAAGCAAACCCAACAAGCTTTCCAGCTCTGATGCTGGTCCATTTCCACAACTCGACCTTGCAACCTATGATTGTTTCATATTGTTTCAGAAGAGGTCCCAGTAAGCAACGTAACACAACACCTCCCGAAACCGCCACCGAAAATCCCCAACCCCAGCTCTACTCCCAAGCCCAATGCCTCTGCTCTGTTGCCGGCGCGGCAGAGTCCAGGATCTGGCGAAGTGAAGGATACAAAAACCCTCCCCATGGCTACATGTTTACATCTGCCACCCCCCAATGGCTGGCAAATAACCCCCAAACAGCCATTGGAGGTCATGACCATTTGCCAGCCATTGGGGGGGTCCTGGTGCATATTTTACAATTTCAACTGAATTAAGAACATGCATCCCCAAGAACCTTCAGAGTCACTTTATCCCCATCGCCATGAAGTCAGCGGTTATCAGGCTTCGTCTCTTGAGTGGATCGACCGACTAAAAGCAAACTTGCTGTTTGACACGAAAATGGTCTTCCCAAAGAGCATACAGTCCAGGAATTCGGAGATAAGAGGATCCTTGGCTTGGGTGGGTGAATCCATGCCCAACCCCGGAGAGGAACAACATGCAAGAACCGTGGATATGACAAGACATCATCTTCTCAAGATTCAGCCTTTGCCTCAAGTCTAAAAGCTTGCCGTGCTACCTTCCTGCGGAGTGTTGCACACATTTGCTTGTTCAAAAGAACTGGAAGGAAACGGTCAACCTGCCGAGCCGTAGTACGGCATTCTGCGGCCCAAACGAGACTTTGCTTGGCCACAACGAGGCTTGATTAATCCTTAAACGTCCGGGAAGCGGGTCGGGTTTGTGCGTCCCTGATTGTCAAAGTCCAAAGTCAACAAAAACATACGCCAGTCGGGCGCCGAATCCTACTGAAATAAAGCGCCGGCATTCCTCTTTTGAACATCAAACAGGGTGCAAGACAAAGCCTTTGCCTTCCCACCCACTAAAATAGAACCAGGGATAAGAACAGGCATTCCAAGGGGCATCATTCAGTGTTTGTGGAAGGGTTGCGCTTGAGAATACTTTGGTCAGGTGATTCATATCTCTTCAGAGGACACAATCCATAAAACGGCTTGAATTATCCTTTGGATTGTTTTCCATTGATTGCATTGTTGGTATCAATGTTTGCGCTTGTTGCGGTCAGTACACTTCCGAGGAACCCGTGGGCATCCCAGCATTAAAACATTGCAATGATGACCCCGTGCAGGTTTGAGTTTCAATCGGATCTGACCACTCAACCCTTATGCATGTGTGCATGCATTTTGCGGGTATGTGCGTGTATGTACGTTCGTACGTACCTATGTCATAGAAAGAGAAAGAGAGAGATTCAGAGAGCGACCATCTACCTATATTAATCCTCCGTTTGCTAAAGTTCCGCGTGAAAAAAAACACAAGCATATTGCCAGTAGTGATTGATTCCATGTGATTCCCTGTAAAACCAACACGGGAAAACAATTTAAGCACATGGCAGTGATATCATGAGCCGTCCCATGCTTCTGCATATCCATTTACAGTGGGCCAAATCCCGCTGCCATCGTCAGAATGCAGTCGTAAGAACTCAACAGTCGCACCTTGACCGTGGGCTCTTTGGCCTTAGCAGCGAATTGAAATCAAAGGTGCACCTTGGATGACCCATCCCAGAAAACTGGTCGAAATTGCGACGGTCCCCCCATAAAGGACTTGGGACACTTAATGTCGACACTTAGTGAGTCTTCTGGCCTTTGCGGTTGGAAATGTACGGCTCGTTGGCTCGTTCCCCATGTCCATCCCAAATGATTTAGACTAGACAGTTTGACCGAACAGGGTTGGTCTCAATACCAGGCACACAACGGCGCCCCCCCCAAACAACAAAACATGTGGGGGGGGGGGGGGGCAATAAAATAGACGCCACAAATCAAACACACAAAAAAACAAAAAATCGACTCGGACCCACATGGGCCCAAAAAATTTGGCTGATTTCCCCATGGCACTTGCCTCGGTGGACTTGGGCCAATTCGAAAATCAGCGAGAAATTTAGAATCGAATGTCACCTGTCCTCCCAAACTGACCAGCTACGAATGTACTTGACCAGGACTGTGGAAAATGGAATCTACTTCTGTGCGACAAAAAGGACGTCCCAAAGACTAACCCCCCATATATAGGGGAGATTCTCAAAAGTATCACAGAAAGGATAAACCCCTTGATCCCACAACCCTGTACTTGACACTTTGACAGCACTTCCCATGTGCCCTGAAACATCCAGCCATAAGTGTGCGCTTCGGCCACACATAAAGCGTGCGCATTTTTAAAAAAAAATGCATTCCCTGGGGTCACTCCGCCCAAAGATCTCAACTGCAAAGCGCTGTGCAAAACAAATTGAAACAGCTTGGCAAAACGATTGCCAAAAGCAAGTGATGCGTAAAGCTGGCGACCAGCAGGGAACACCTGTCATCAAATCTCAATTGTCAGGTATGAAGCAGGAGGTATGGAGAGACGTCAATTTCTCCGACATCTGTGTCTTAAGGAAGTATACCCCTCTTGGTATGCTCCATATTTTCCGAAAATACGCACCTTGGATTTCCCTGGAACCTGCAAAATCCAGACCTCCAGTGGGCAAAAGGGCACTTGTGTTGGTTTCAAGGGAAACGACAAATGGTATTTCAGTGGAAACCCTCAAAACGCAACAACAGGCAACAACCAAACCCAAGGACACTTGCTTTCCAAAAAACCAGCTTCCCTCGAATTGGTGGTTTTGGACTGGTGATTCGGATCTTAGGTTTCCCACTTACCCTCTACAAAAAGAGGAGTTCAAGCCTGTAAAAAAAGAAGAAAAAAAAACAAGTCGCCTGAACACAGAAAACGCCCCGGCGAAATGGGCCAGGACCTGGAGGCTCGACCCCTAGGAGGGGGAAGCTCACCATTCCTCTGGAGCGCACAAAAGGAACTGACGGTTGGGTTCTGACATGATCAAACAAGTCTATAGCTTCCATGTGCTTTTTCGCCAAACTAGAACACCACCAATTTCCAGTAGTGATAGATTTTCCCACTTTTAACCAACAGGGGGCAAATGAATCATATATTCAAATTTCAGCAATCACCCGCTTTCCTCTTGGGGGCGCCGCTGAGTCCAGGACCCGACCCCGGAACGGGACCCGACGTGATTCTGTGGCCGGGGCGAGGAATCGCGCGAGGTGTCTGTGGGAGGCGCCGCTGGCTGCCTCGAGGCAGACCTCGAGAAAGGACCCAGTCCCTGCACAGCCCCCAAAACCGCCCCGCAGGGCCCAGTCTCCCCGGAAATTGCCGTTTTTGGAAAAAACAACTGTTTGACGACCCCGAGCCAAAAACCCCTCAAATAGGGTTGCTTCAAGTAGAGGTTGGAGGAAATTGGCTGTTTTGAAAAACAAATAAAAGGTTTGATGAGCCCGATGAGCAAAAATCCCTCAAACATAGGGTTGCTTCGATTCGACATCGGCGCATAGAAATCGGATTGGTGTCTTTGAATGGCTCGGAGCAAACCGAGGAAGATGTGCTTGCTATATTCAATTGAGCTCAATCTAACGAGAGCGCCAAACAGCTGGGCGCTCAGTACTCAGCCAAGATTATTTAGAGCCACGGTTTAAGTCAGAACGAGGACAGCACAGCCTGATGCCCTGCCCAACGGTCGCACAGGAAAAGCACGCTACTCCAGCAGTCATGAATATATCAACTTAAAGCCAGGGAAGCAATAACATAATGACAACTGGGTTGGTCCGTGACCCTCTTCAGCAAGTTGGTTGCTTCGCTAGTCCATATTCGAGCAGCAAGGTGAAAAAGCCCAACAAGCCCAGCCCCCTCGCTCGCTACTCTGAGGGCTGGGCCAAGAGAAGAAGAGGAACCATCGCCCTCTGCAGGAACCTGGTGGAATCGCACAGGCCGTGAGTCATGATCATAACCTGATGTTAAAGCAGTCTACCCAAATAAGAACTGCAAGGGGCGGGCACACCTCTTGATGGTTGGGACTCTCCCTACGGGTCATGACCCCTCAACCCTTCAATCAGGTTCCAGGTGGATGGCAAGGTTCCTCACTTGGAAATGGTCATAGACCTCTGGTGTTCGTTCGTCTACAGAGCTTGTTGCAGTCCTTCGGCCGGGTGACTAACATTTCCCCGATGGTTTCGGGCACCTTCCAAGAGAAATCCACTGCAGCAAGAACAACTCTTAGATCACCTATGAGCCCTCCAGGAGGTCTGCAATGAGAAGCTTCAGTTCCCTTTAAAAACTAAGTGTGCTATAGGGAAAAAACAGGCTCTGGCCCCAAATCAAAAATACCTCGACGATAAAACCCCGGGTATGTTTCGCGCAACGTGCGCCAAAACCCAAACCCGGACTAAGCCCATGGTGAACCCGTACTAAACCCATATTTGTGTACTGGACTGTTGCTTTTTAAGGGCTTGGGTGTAGCCTTCCTCGCACTAACATGGCACCTGCGAGGGGCCAAATTTTCCTCTTGGAGGGGCGAACACCCCTGCCAGTTGCCATGTTAGTGCAGGGAGGACAATGGCAACCCCAGATTAATAAACCCCAACAGGGGGGTGTCCCGTTTCAGTGGGGATTTATCACTTTTGGGGAACACCCCCGAATCCAGGGTTCCCATCAGAGGGTTGCTTTGCTTCAACACCCAAAGCAAACTCATCTCGCACAACAGGGCACAACTTCTTGACCTGACAATATTTCCTAGTCCCTGTAAACCAGCCTGAATCCTCCGCTGAGCGTTATTTTCCGCTCGTGCAGATTACTGCGCGCTTATCTGAAAAGCGCTCGGTTCAATAGAAAAACGCTCGGACACGAATATCGAAAAAGAAGGAACTGTCCATTGTGCGGGCTCAGTCTTGTTGCCCGTGTGAACGATTTGCAGAGGGTGCCGAGCGTGACAAAACTAGCACTTGTTGATGTGCGCTCGCGTTGCGAGTTGCGGGAAACTGCGCTCTTGTAGCGGGAATGTGCGCTCGTTGTGCGGCCTTTCCCGTCTCATCCAGGAAAGCCTCTCCTCTGTTCAAGACATTGACCACATTGCACATTGTGTGCGTCCAAAGGAGCCGCGATTCCCTTGCGAAGCAGCCTTCCACTTGGCTGATTTAACGCTCGGAGACTAAATAGCGCCCGTTTGTAAAAGAAAGAAGCTCGCAAGCACAAAGTATCAACTAGCCGCTTGAGCAGAAAGAAGATGCTTGATGAAAGATCCAGGAGAGTGAAACGGGTGCCTCACAAACCATGCATATTATTTTTCTATGTATATATACAAAGGCAATGCCCTAGCATGATCTTGGACTCGACCCCATATGCTTCGCAAGCTCATGACAAACCGTCCTGGAAAGGGTCCCGGTGCGCATTGTTTAGATACCAAATATGGAACTCTGAGGAATCCTCAGGCTGGTGGTCAACCCCCAAGGATCCGTGAGCATTCCTAACCCCAACCACAAGTCTGTCAAAGACCCCCCCCCATGGAGCAAAGCAACCGCCGGTACCGTTCCGGGGCTTACGCACCCCACCCAAGTTTGCCTGACGATGTGGGCGTTCGTTTTTGGAGGGCGTCCCTGACACCTTGGCTTACCGGACGATAGCAAAGCCATTTTGGGGACCGGCCGAATGTTGACCCCATGTTGATCAACCCCGGTTTACTACAAGTGGGGGGGGGGCGGTCCCCTCCAAGAGTGGTCTGATTCCCCACTGCACCCAGGGACACCCCCTATTAATAAACTGGGGTTGCTTACATTTGGGTCTTCCCTACTTTTCGCAACGCCCCGCGCTCGAGTCGACTCCAATGCGCCGAGTGGCATCCTGCAACCTTCGTTGGCTTCGGGGGCCAGAAGCTCCGGCTGGAGCCCAAAGTTCGACCCGGCGCAGGTCGACGTGTCACGCGTGGGGTCCGAGGGAAGCGACTCAAGTGGTTTGCGGCCGGGCAACTCGGAAATATCCACAGGGGCCCTGTGAAGCTGTCAGCCAAAACCAAAACACCCATCCCCAAAACGCTGGAAGTTTGTTCGGGTCAAATCAAGGAGCAGCGGGTTGAGGTGTTCCTACGAGCGAACCCGATGGCATCAGACCCCTTTGCATGCTAGGCATGATGTTGCATTCTTTGGACACCATTTGCATGCGGAATGCGCGTCAACGATCATATAACTATGTTTATCTTTACAGGATTTAAGAGCTATTGTTGGACTGGAACTCACTTCTCGTAGAATGATTCTCTTATATTGGTTCATCCTAATATATTATGTATGTATAGTCTTCATATTTGGTCTGGAGATTTGTTAAGAGACTTAACAAACATATGAAGTCTTATTAATACTCTAGTTTCTTCTTGTTGGATGTTTTCTAGTTTCTGAAGATCTTTTGTTTGTATCTTTCTTTTGGACCTCTTTTCATTTATTACTTTAGGGATGTAGCCAGGAGAAGCTTTTGAGTCCTCACATTTTGGGAGCTAACGGATGGCTGTGTAGCAACTTGGCTCCCTTCGAACTCAGCAAAGGCGTGAAGCAGCCGGCATCCGTAAGGATCATTTGAGGAGTTGGGTGCCTGCTCTTCATGAGTCGTAGTCAAATCTGGGCTCAAAAGGGCCAACCCAACATCCATGATCGAATGAGAACCTCTGGGTGAAATGTGGGGAATCATCATTTTTGGAGGGGGACTCCGGTTCTTTTGACCCAAAGAGTCAATGCGGTGTGGGGATATGGGACTCCCCCTAACTTAGCCTTTAATTCAAACGTAAATAAAACTAAGCATCCCAAACTTCCTTTGGGTGGAGGACGAAACAAGCCTCGGCCAGTGACCCGCAGCCGATTCACCATAGTCGAATCAGCCGCCTTCGCCTTCTTCTTGGCGCGCATGGCGGCAACTGCCTGTGCCAGCTCTTGGTACTCCTAGGTGCAGGCTGGAGTCAACAGTGGAACGTTCGCAAGCTTTGTTGGGTGACCCGAAATCAGCTCTGACGCTTACCCCTTCAAAGCCCTGGCCTGGACAAGTTGAAGCTTGGCGCCATCCCTGCAACTTACGCAACCTCCGCGTGGAAGAAGGGTCTGGAATGCCTCTCGCGACTAGCTTGAACCCCAGGCCAGAAAGCAAGGTTAGCGCTGATTCAAATCATTCTCCAGCTCAAACCGAAGTACCACTCACAGCTGCCTCAAAAAGCCACTGTGTAATAAGATGGAGAACAACTGCAGCCCCTGTTTTGGGCAGCCTGCAAACTATGGGTAGGTCAAAGCCAGCGGGGGTGGGGTTACGGGGGTAGAGCTGAATTGGGCAACCCCTTTTCCGCGGAGAAAAACGAGTTTCAAGCCACCGCAAGGTGGGTTTGTGGTTTTGGGGAGAAAGCTGTGCTGCCCTGCAAAGCTTGGATCATATTTGGCTTGCCCGCAATCCTTTGGGTATGTCACTTTTTCAGGGGTGCCTATTTTGGGCTGCCTTCAAAGTCAACCAAAAGCCGGGATGGAGAGCTCCACTCTTCCAAAAAAGGCGCAGTGCCACACCTTCAGTGGCACGGATTTACTCAGCAAACTCAGCTGCTGTGCTACCGGGAGGTGTGTGTTGCACATGCCTCCGTAACCCAAGGCCAACAAATCTTGAGGCAGCTTGCGCATGATTGTCCTTTGGTGCAAGCTTTTCATTATCTTCGAAGAGGTCCAGCAAATCGGCCTTGTCCAGAGTAATCGAATCGGCTGCACCCTGGATCCCTCCGTGCCAAATTGATTGAATGATTACGGTGGGTTCTGTTAAATTTAATAAACAGGACTCTTGCAGTCACTTTGCTTACATAAACTTCCACACACCGAGTCAGGTGAAGTCAAGTGCCACTCAGGAAGGTGAGGACGGCCCCAACAATTCACGTCCTCTTTTTTTGCAAGGACACTTGCGCAGCATCAAATGAAGTCTGCAAACGTCTCCACTCTCTCTCTCTCTCTCTCTCTCTCTCTCTCCCGCTTTCTCTCTCTCTCTCTCTGTCGTGCGCCTCTCGCAGCACCCTCAAGCTTAGCTTTCGTTCGTGTTAATGTTCAGCAACGAACCCGGTATAAAACTGGGGAGCCAAACATGATACCCCATAACACATTGAGTCAGTCAGTTTCACAAAAATCCGCGATTCCGCCACTCCCGCTGTGGTTGGTCCACATGGTTCAAATTCCGCTTCCTTTGGCCACGAATCTCTGTGCCGTAATCTGAGCAAAGGACATCTGAGCCTTCCCCGAGAGTCTTCTATCCGAGGCACCCGACGGAAAGGCTTGTATCAAAGTTTGAAAGGATCTTGTGCGAGTGCATACTTGGGAGCCACCACAACTTCCCTTAATCCATAGGTGGCAAGACTGGCTTTCAAGGGATACCCTTTTACCACGAATGCGTGTCGCAGCAAACGTCACGAGGCGGGTTGAGGCTGTTTTGTGTGTGACTTTCAAAGGTTCGGCTTGTTCTTGTCCTAGTTTCTCCCACGGTTTTGAGGCGTTTCCGAAGCCGTCTTGGTTCATGTCCTTCAACGGTCTCAAGCTGGTTTGAGGCTGGTTGCTTTGAGACTGTTGCGTTCACATCTCTGAATGGCTTTCAATGGCTTCCAACCGGTACAAGGCCGGTCTGGGCGTGTTTGAGAATGGTTCAGGCCCGTTCACGTTTGGGTCTTGCGTTCAGAGGATTTCAAGGCAGTTTGAAGCTGTTTGAAGCCGCTTGAGACCACAGTAGTTTGAGGTGTTCTTCTTGTTTTTCGTGCTTTGAACAGTGTTCGGCGCGCAATAACTCATCCTTTGAACCTGCTTTAAAACAACAAACACACCCGTATATTCGTGTGGTCCTCTTTGTGATCAAACCGATGTTGACATTCAAAGCGCACAAGCTGATCGAGTCGGGAGACCTTCGCTTGCTCACCCCCCCCGCCCAATTTTTTAGGGGGAAGGGGGTGGAGTACAAGTTCACCCAACGCGTTTGTCCAGTCTGCCTGGATCCCCAGTTGCCCTTAGTTACCAGCTACTGTTGCCAAATTATGGGCTACTCTGGGAAAAGTGGCTGGAAAAGAGTGGCTTCCAAGTACCATAAAGTGGAAACGGAACTATACCCGTGGAATTTCAGTCAACCACCCACCCACCCCTTGAGGGCGATGTTTGCTCATCCCATCCTGAAAGAGCTCCGCCTCTGCCAGCTTTGCCTGCAAAGTGGAAACGATGCTTGGCAAAAGGGCGAGAAAGGCGAAGATAGGCTTTCATTTGCTGAAGCCTCCTATACAACAAACAAACAAACAAACAAACAAACAAACAAACACACACACACACACATTCCCCGTCAAACCAAAAAGGGAAACTGAAACAAATGATTAAGCAAATATGGAAGTAGGGATCAATCCTTGAACCAGGTAGGACCATGGCCAGCGAATTTGGCAGCAGGCCTTTGCCTGGAGTAGGGGTTGAACTGGGGCTGATCTTCAGCGGAAGACCCTTGACTATAGAATCGGAACCAAAGATGGCCATTCTGTTTAAATATGGGGATTTGGGGGGGGATTTGGGGGGACTGCTTGCAAAAAGTATCATCATACTATGTCATACTGTTCTACTGTTACACACACACAAACTCTAATTATCATAGCGCCGTCCTTGTTTTGGGTCTCCAAAAAAACCTGGGCCATCTTACAACGGCTTGTTGCAATCTCTCTGTTTTGAAGGGCTTCTCGGCCATAGCCTTTCCCTCCCTTGAGGCGGCTTGGTCCGACAGCTTCCTCTGTCACATGGGCCTCACGACTCGAAGAAGGGGCGCCTGGCTTCTCAAAAATCCCAGGCGAGACATCGACCAAATCGTTTGGTCACAACGCCCCCAAAAACAAGCCCATAGACAGCCCGCTCTTCAGGCCCAATTCGTGAAACCCTCTTTGAGCGATACTGATCAACCTGCAAAACCGAGGGACCACGAAAGCCGACATGATATAACTGGTAACTTGTGTCCTTCCATTTGCTTATTTCACACCATGGAACAAAATAGAATCATGCTTGCCGTAGTGATAGATTTCCTTTAAAACCAACAAGGGGAAATACAACATATTCTCAAGCAAATGGAAGTGTCCAATGCTCATGTGAGGCACGGTCGAAATTACTTACTTACGGCCGTTTCGCTACTTTCTTTGAGAGTGCCCTATCGTTTTCCAGCGTTTCCCCATTGTTTTCCAGGGGTGTCGTTCCTTTGAGAATCCCCTATCGTTTGCCATGTTTTTATGCATTCTCACAATACCCATGAAACGCTGAATACTAAACTCAACAGAAGTAATTCTGACGATACTTCATGTGCACAACGTGCTGATGGAAGCAGTCCCTCAGAATCGTGCTTAGACGCACAATCAAGTACTTTACGTGGACAAACCCTCGCTCTTCCCTCATAACCTCCGGCGTTCACAACACGATGAATACTTAGAGGCTCATTGGCCAGGAAATTTATGTCACATGCCAAAGCTGCTCGTCGCTAATGGCAGCCACATGCTAGATGCTCCGAGCTGCCCCGATCAGGCCCCACCAGCCTTTGCGGCTTCGGAGTCCGGCACTTTGGCCTGGCGAACAGCGAACAGCCAAAGAAGAGGCGGCTTGGCTGGTAAACTCACGGCCGATCGAGTGGTGAGAAAACCTGCAAACTTGGAAACTTTAGCGTCTACCCAAACAGATTGAAGTCCAGGAACATAGCGTTCATGCGGCAACTGATAGAAAACACATTGCGCCATGACGCTCCTACTTTATGTCTTGTTTTGAGGGGTCTGCTCTGGAGGGAAACCAAACGGGATCAACCCAATTTGGAGGACCCCTATTTGCAAAACAAGCCCATATCCGACAAGACGCAACACAACACAGCCGACGATTCACGTCCATGCATATA